TGAGAAAGTTCTTTAGATATTTGAGATATGGGACCTTTATCTGATAAACTGTCTATATTTTTTCCCTATTATCTCCTTTCTTTCTGATCTTGGCTACATTTGTTTTATTGATCCAAAAACTTTTACATTTTATGTATTTGAAATTATCCGTTATGTACCTAGCTTTGTTCTCTATCTCTTGTTTATTCATAAATTGTTCTCCTATCTATAAATCTGATAAGTAACATGTTCCATGTTCTTCTAAATTTCTCTCTCTATATAGGCCATGCATCCATTTTGACTTTATCTTGGTAAATGGTGTAAGATATTGGTCTATGCCCAATTTCTGCTATGCTACTTTCCAGTTTTCCCAATATATTTTTTTTACCAAATAATGAATTCTTATCTCAAAATTCTAAGTCTTTACACTTGGCAAATACAAGGTTATTTTGTTTATTTGCTGCTGTAAATTGCATGTCTACTCTATTCCATGATCTACCTTTCTGTTTCTTAGCCAGTACCAGATAATTTTGATAACAACTTTCTTATAATATACTTTAAGATCTGGTACTACTAAACCTCCTTCTTTTACATTTTTTTTTCATTATTTGATATTCTTGACTTTTTTTTGTTTTTCTAAATGAATATTATTATTTTTTTCTAATTCAGCAAAAAAAAAATTGGTAATTTAATTGGGTTGGCATTGAATATGTACATTAGTTTAGGTAAAATGGCCCACCTACCCATAAACAATTTCTATTTCTCCAATTATTTAAACATGATTTTATATGTTTAAAATTTTTTTTATCTAATTTAGTTTATATAGTTCCTGGATTTATTTTGGCAGGTATACTCCCAGGTATTTTATACTATCTGGAGTTATTTTAAATGGAGTATTATTTTTACTATCTCTTCTTGCAGAGTTTTGTTTGTGATGTATAGGAGTGCTATGATTTATGTTTATTTACATTATATCCTGTCACTTTGATAAAATTATTAATTGTTTTCTATAATGCCTCTCTCTCCTGGGTGTCCTACAGCTATTCCTTTTTAGAATTTATCCTATTTCATCATTTATCTTTTGCCCACTAAGCCTCAAGTTTCTTTCCTGAGCTTTGTCTTCTCACCTAACACTCCTTTGGTAACCTCATCAGATCTAGCACATTGTATTATCATTTCTATGCACATGATTGCCAGATCTATATATTCAGCTCTAATCTTCCTCTTAAACCCCAAACCAATATCACCAATAATCCTCCGGCTAACTCTTCTTGGATGTTTCACTGACATGTCCAGAATGGAAATTATGGTCTTTCCCCTTAAATCCATCTCTTCTCAAAACTTCTTTATTTCTTTCAGTCCTTAAACCTACAAGAGTTTGTAACCTATGAGTTATTCTTTGCTATGTCTTCTATTGCTGATCAATTGTCATCTTACCAATATTGCTTTTGTGACATCTCTCACGTTTGTCCTTTTCTCCACTCAAAGCAATTATCTCAAGTCAGACCATCATAACTCTTTCCTCCTTATTAAAATAGCTTTCTATTTAGTTTCTGTGCTTTATGTCTCTCTTCCCTCCTCCACACTGTTGTGAAAATGATCTTCCTAAGGCATAGATTTGACCATGACAATCCCCTGCTCAGAAGCCTCCAATGTTTCTCTTTTGTCTCAAGGATAAAATACGAAACACTCTTTTTAAGTCCATCTACAACATAGTTCCAATCTGCCTTTTCAACTTTCTCTCACATTACTCTCATCATACTCAGTGTTCTAGAAAAACTGCATTACTAGCTCATTCCATTTCTGACCTACATTCCTATACACAATCATCCCCTCTGCTTAGAATTCAGTCTTTCCTCATCTCCGTTCAAAGTCCTTATTATTAACCTCATGTATTTTCTCTTTCTTGAAGCCTTCCCTAATTCTTTAAATGTTAACTCTTTCTCCTACCTCAGATGACCTTGTATTCACTTATCTGTATATGAGCTGTTCATAGTAGATTATAAGTTCCTTGAGGACAGGGATGTCTATGTCTTTTGTCTTTATATCCACAGCAAAATCCCTTGCATATGGTAGATAATTTATGAATTTTTGATGAATGGGATTGAGTTGATAAAGATTATGAGATATATTTTCAGGCAAGTCACATTTTATGTTTAAACTATGCAGAGATTCTGTTGATTTCTTTCAAAAAGCAGTCTTACTCAGTCATAAAAATTCTTTCTGAATTTCATAATTTGGAGGAAGCATACTTAATAAAGAGCAAACTCATGCTATTATTTGAGGCATGACTCACATTTTTAAAGCCACATAGCTTCATTTCAGGATGAACATACAAAAACCAAGTATCTAAACAGAACAGATCCACATCAGTTCCCATAGAAACCCAAGGCAAAGAGATTAATGTTCACCAGATGGGACTGGGCTATATAATTGCTTCTCCCCCACTCCAATGGAGGCAGCTTCTCAGACAATGGAAATTCCAAAACGCTTAAAAACCTCTTTTTAATTTTTTGTATTCATGAAAAGAAATGTATCACCTTTTAGAGATTAAACAATCGGATGTCCAATTATTTGGGGATTTCTTTGGATTAGATTCTCTATGCTTAATTACTTATCTTTTCCAGTGTGCCAAGGATAGACAGAAAATTGTGGAGATAGAAAACAATACAATGACTCACATGAGAACATTGGGTTATTCCATGCAATCATAAAGTGTTAAACTTAAAAGGAAGCTTAGAGATCATCTAGTTCAATTCCCTGGTTTTATAGTCAAAAAAAACTGAGTTCCAGATAATTAAAGTGACTTAGACAGACTGAAAGCCAGGCTCTCTGTCTTCCAAACCATTTTTCTATGTCTCCTGTATCATCCTCCTTCCCTGGGAGTGTACTAGCTTCCCTGGGGATCAAAGATCATAGCATCAAATGTCAAAGATTTAGAGTTTGAAAGAGCCTTAGAAAGCATCTAGACTATCTCCTCCCCATTTTGCAGATGAGGAAACTGAGAAACATATAGTGACTTCCTCAGTAGTCTCATCCTTTACCTCCCCTATTTTACATCTTTCTACTCTCCATGACCACAAGAATATCATTAATTATGTCATTCTAAAGTTCTACTGTTTGGCATACTTTGGTTATATAGTTATTGACATTATGGAGATGCAGCAATTTGGCTCTTAATTTTATGATGGCCACTTAACAGATTAAAACATTCCAGTATAAAGAAATCATTTCAATGAGGATTTTTTGTTGAAAAACCATTACTGCTGGTGTTCATTTTAAAATAATATTTTGTCAAAGTCTTCAATTTAATCTTAACATTACCCCAAACTTTCCTAATGACAAGGTCTATAATGTTGGGATATGTCTATATACCATATTGCCAAGAAAATGTTGTTTGTTAAAGAGTTGAGATGGAAATGAATCAATAACTTTCTAGGTGAATCCTGGTCCCTTTTTTTTTCCTCTCACAAATGTCATCAAATCTTTAACATCATAGCCCAAGCACTCCACTTAAATCAAGAAAACCAGCTTTACCAACCAATAGTGGGACATTTTGTCTTGCCTTTTCAATTTTTCCCAAGCTGTCCCATCCATTTCTAATACATTTTCTCTAGTCTTTGCAAAACAATGTCTTTACACTTCTAAAGCAAGTACCTGGGACATAACAGGTTCTTAATAAATACTTCTTGATTGATTCATCAAAGATTGAATTCTTGCTTCCAAACCTGCTTATGATTGTGGGTTCAGCTTAATGTAGCTACATATGTTTACAAGTCTCAATTCTGACATTTCCTTCTATCTCCCCCCATTAAGTTGTTTGTTCCTTGAGAATAGAAATCACAACCTTTTATTTTCTCTAAAGCACCCCATGGTCAATGCCATCTTGCTTTGCCTGTTCATTATATATTGACTGACTCGACTGACTGGGTAATAAACACTTCTGAAAGGAGAAAAGAGATATTTAGGCTTGATCCTCAAAGGGACTGCTTCCCTTACAATCAGAACTGCCCTGAGTTCCTGTAGATTTCCCAGAGGAATATTATAAAGGAGTCTTTAATGCCCTTATGAAGAGAGGCAAGATTAATACTTAGCCAGGAAGAGCTTTTGAATGTGCCCAGAACTTTATCAAGTGACTAAAACCAGCTTAGATGTTTTGTTGACTCATTTGCCTTCCAGACTGGCATCTGCAAGACAGTCATTTACCTGATGCTAGTAAATCTCTCTGTGCAGAGATGTGGATGTATTTTCCATAAAAATGAAGATGATTTCAAATTCTGTTAAAAATAATGCCACTTGGTATCTTTTCCATTGAAATGTCTGCCCACTATTATTCTTTCATGGAGATATCTCAAATATTAAGGCAACTTGAACACTTCTGGGGTGATCTAGTAAGAAAAATGATGTAGTCAGTATTACACTAATGAGCTTCACACCTGGGTCATGCAGAAGTATGTTAGTATGTGGTTAGTGTGGTGTTAGTATGCAGTAAATCGTGCTAAGGGACCAGACCTGAAGATACCTCCCCTCAAAGCTTTTCAATCTAAGCAACTGCAATGTAAGTTTTGAAATTTCATTTGCCATTGCCCCTTCCAAAGACAATCTTAAGAAGCTTGCCTATAATTAAAGAAAGCTTATTTCAGTAGATTGATAGCAAATGCACAATTTCTGATGAATGACTGAGCCCCTTCTGAATTCTGATGCATTACAATGGTGACTATAGATTATCAATCCCAAAAGGGAGGGCTGATGAGTAGGAGGAAGAATTCTGCTTTACTATTTTTTTTATTTGAAACAATGTGCTCTTGTGTTTCCCTAAGGTTTTTAGAAGGAGTCACAAGTATGGATTTTCTCTCCAGTGCTTGTGTTGAAGTAAAAGACCCAATTTTAAAAGGCTTCTGCTAAGACTACTGTGAAATCTTTATGCATAGATCACAAACTTTGCATCTATTCTTCAAGTTACATAAAGATGTGGGATGTGAATTATATGCAGTTCCTCATTCTTATTTGTATTTTCTAAGATTTCCCTGCTGGCTCTGTCAATGTAAATGTCTACTGTGATGGAAACATTAAAACTACAACAGAGATTATATATCACACAACAGAAAAGGAGGTTGAACACCCACTCAAAGAGGCTGATCCAGGAGATGTAGCTCAACAGGTAAGTTGACCTTCCATAAGGTTAATAATGAAATAAATAAAAGTATAAACATTAGATAAGAAAATGTGCATTTCAGGATGAAGACTAAATGGTGACAGAATAGGAGACAACCTCTGTGGTGTCTGGGTACAGACTAATCTCCTTAAGTCAAATCTCAAATTGTGTCAATCACAGTTCTGAAAGATTTGTGATGGAAAATGCTTTTCACATCCAGAGAAAGAGCTGGTGGAGTCTGAATGTAGATCAAAGCTTACCATTTTCACTTTTAATTTTGTTCATAGTTTTTGCTTTTGTTCTGTTTTTGTTTTCTTATATGACATGACTAATGTAGAAATATATTTTATATGATTGAATATATCAAATTGCTTACCATGTTAGGGACAAAGTAAGGGCAGGAAGGGACTGAGGGAGTAAATTTGGAACTCAGAATTTTGTTTAAAAAATAATGTTTTAAAAAGTAGAAAAAAGTGTCAACTAAAGGCAGAAGATATCATATATGGCTCATTATAATTAAAGTTGTAGTAGAACAAGAAAATGAAGGAAATTAATGTGTAGAAAAATAAGAAAGAAGGGTATTTCAGTCCTAAGAAATGGACTCCTCTTCATTCAGGCCAGTGCAACACAACGCAAATTGAAAGACCAATCAGTTAAGCAATAACTTAGGATTTGGAAGACAACTAAATAGGATAAGGAAACCAAAGAAGAGATTTTTACTATATTAACTATTTTAATTGTATTATTTATATAACTACATATTTATATAATTATATTATTTTATAATTATTTTTACTATGTTAGGTTGTTCTTTTTGTGGTGGAAGAATAAAGTTGATACAGCTAGAAAACTGAAATCAGCAATGTAATAATAATATTCCTCATAGTTTTATAAAGTACTAAGCCCAAAGATATATATTAGTAAACTTGCAGTGGGTGGCAATCATTGTAAAGAGAATTTGGATTTTATTACAAATGACTGTCCTCCATGCCCACATCCTTTCCCACCTTCATCTCTTAGGATCCCTAGCTTATTTCAAAGTTCAGCCCAACTTCCATTTTCTATATTAAGCCTTTATTCATCCTTCTACTTTAGAGCCCCTGTTGCAATAATTAGGTCATTTCTAGGGGCAATGTAACAGGCTCAATGTCCGTATAATTTTAGCCAGTTTATTTTAGACAAAAATTAGAAATTGCTCTCAGCTCCTAGTTAGGAAAATTTCTAACATTAAGGCAAAAGTTGGGCTTTTGGCCTAAATTTGCATTTATATCAGTCTCTAGTGAACCCCTGGACTCTTGTGGTTGAGGCAAAATTCAAGTTACTGGAAATGTATGAGTAATGAAATAGAAGATTATATTATAGTGATTGTGGAAATACAGGCAACAGGAAAGGAAGTTGGGGGAAGAGCTGACCTTTACTAAAGAGTCCCCTTTGCCTTTTAGTAGGTGGGTACATCAGTAACATCAGCCCAAGTCCTTTGTTCCAAAACACTTTTTGAGCTGATGACTTCTTTAATATCTTCCTTCTCTGCTCATTTCTAGTTTTTTTTTCTGTCCCTTTCCTGGTTTCTCTGGGCTACATGAGCGAGCTCTACATGATTCCTTTCTTTCTATTTCCAGACCCATAGAATTGCTATCTGTTTTTGAAATAGCAATAATTAGCATTTATTGACAACTTTAGGATTTGCACAGTCCTCATAACAACTCTTTAAGGTAGCTGCTATCATCACTATTTTCCAGATGAGAAAATAGTCTGAGATTTATTAAATGATTTGCTCAGGATCACATAGTTAATGTCTAATGTAGGATCTGAACTCAGATCTTCCTGACTTCTGATCAATAATTCTATCCACTTGCCTGACCACCTAGCTTCTTCTCACCATTCTTTCCTTTTATGCAAATTCCATAGGGCTTGTCCAAATCTCTCGAGCAATGACTTTGACTGATTCAAGGTGGTCCACTGGCCCTATTCCCATATAGTTGTAATTGATTTACTCAGTCAAGAAGTGCCTTTACCTAATAAATGTAATTACTTTTAATGGGATACAGTTATTAGTGGAACCCTACCCTTATACTGTGATGCTAAATCAATCATTAAGTACTTATGAATATTTAATTCTAGTGTCTTCCCTCTGTTAATTATTGCTTTTTATACTGTATATAGCTTGTTTGTTATATCTATATCTATCTAGTATGTGTGTGTGTGTTTAAGTGTTGAGGGCAGGGACCATCTTTAACCTCTTTTGGTATCCCCAGAGCTTCATGCAGTGCCTGTCACATAGTAGGCACTTCATAAATATTGATTGATCAAAAAGCCAAGCACTGTGAGGCTGGGCATATAAGCACAAAAAATGAAACAATCTCCACTTACAATGGATTTTCATTCTAATGGGGGAGATAACAAGTACAAAAATACATACAAGAGAAATATAAATTTAAAAAATACACACATATGTGTATATGTACATATATACATATTGACAGAGAGAGAGAGAAAGGGAAAGAGACATAGATAGACAGAGATTAAGTAAAAAGTAATTTGGGAGACAAGACATTAATAGCTGAGGGGATCAGGAAAAGCTTCATGTAAAAGACGGTGCTTTAACTGGACATTTTATTTTATCCCCAATGCTAATAGATTAACTGAGGGTTCTCTTTTCAGCAGCAGTATAGTTAAATAGAAAACAAAGGTAAGAATGTCTAAGGAAAGTAGGGAAGTTGAAATATCATTTATTCCACTAGGTAGTTTGAGGCCACTTGACATAATGTCTATATTGTAACTGCAGAGCAAGAATAAATGTAATAGTATGTGTTTGTAATGCAGACAGTCTCATTTTCTTGTGACAAATCTACCTTATCTTCCACCCAAGGTACTCCATTCCTAACAAAAACACCTATAATAAAAAGATTAATAAAAATGATCCATGGTACTATTGGTAGTCTCTTTAAGTGTCAAGGTAGATTCCAAATTCTTGTTTTGATGTTGCTTTTCTTATAGGAGGGGGGTAAATAAGCCTTGAAGAAAGATGATGAAATGCAGTTGATTGCCCCTGAACAATGTAATTGTAATTTTTAAAATATTTATTGCATCTATTCCTACATCTCTTAGGTGAAAGGTGGATAGAATGAATGCTTTGCATAGTTTTGATGTATCTGGAAAATGCTCAACTCCATTCTTACTTTTAGAGGAGCTGTAGGAGATAGAGCATTAGAGATGACATAGAATCCGTGGTCTAGGTCAGATATTTGTGATACTCATTTAAGTACTGTGTTTGTGTGTGTGTGCACACATGCATACATGGATATGTGTGCTTGCATTGATAAATGCCTCCTAATTGAAGGATTTGGACATTTTGAAAATGGGACTCTAAATAGTCCATTTGTCAAAGCAGTGAATACACTGAGAAATGATGTAAGGTAGTTATTGTGTGATTTTATTGGTTCATGGAGTTTCCAATAAGGAAACTTCCTCTAAAAATTCAGAGCATCAAAAATGTAAACTTTAGAGCATTTTTGGTGGACGCTGAAGGAGTGAGTTACTTTTCCGAGAGTTACATAGTCTATGAGTCACAGACAAGCCTTGAACCCAGATCTTCTGACTCTGAGGGCAGCTTTCTGTATATTAAACCCTATGACCTCTCAGGACAGGACAGCATTAGTTACAAAGCAGATACATAAAGCTAAGCTTATAGCTAAAGCTCTAACTATGGCTGATACCAAAATGAAATTCCCCACCATCTCTCTAGTTGAAGTGATATAATATGGCAGGTATTTTTGGCTTTCCTGTAAGTTTCATTATTCTGTATAGTGCTGGAAACCTAAAAATTAGTACCAAGAGACTTTCCACAATCAATTAAAAGCTACTGTGTACAGAGCCTTGCAACTGTTCTGTGAATTTGAGAGAAGGAATGATAATGAGAAATCTGGTTTTGTTGTTGTATTTTTAATGAGGCACACTAGGCCTTAGAGCACTCTTCCTTTATTGGCTCATCTACCTATGGCCTTCCGATGGTCCTTTAACTCCTGAAAGGGAGATGATAAATACGAACACACTAGCTCCAGAAAGGTGCAACTTCTGAAGCATCTCACTCCCATCATCCTTTGAAAGAAGTGGAAGTAAAGAAGCCATAGTCTGGGAAGATAATTAAAATTCCCATCAAGTAATAGAAGCAGAAGTAACTTTTATTTAACTTGGGTAATTAAAGCCCTTGAGACTCTTATCCTATTTCTAAAGCTATCCTGAGGCGATGGTGACTTATCTTGGCAAAGCCACAACCAGATAGAATATAATAAAAATATTAAAGCAAAAGGCTAAAAGCAGATAGCAATTATTGATCAAAGCAGGAGCTTGTAGCATCCTATTCTTTCAAGGAAAAAATGTTTTCTAGAATTTTGTAATATCGAGAAATTTTCCTTAGTCAAATTTTTGGTAGGAGTGGTGGTATTGCTGGGTCAAGGGGTATAAGCAGTTTAATACCTCTTTGGGCATAATTCTAGATTACTCTCCAAAATGGTTGGATCAGTTTACAATTCCACAAACAATGAATCCATTTTCCCACATCTCTTCAAACATTTGTTGCTTTCCCCTTGAACCATTTTAGCCTATCTGATGGACGTAAAATGGTATCCCAAGGTTGTTTTAATTTGGATTTCTTTAATCAAAAATTATTTAGAGTATTTTTTGTAAAACTATAGATTGTTTTGATTTCTTCATAATAAGCTGCCTGTTCATATACTTTGATCTATTTATTAATGGGGAAATGACTCATATTCTTATACATTTTACAAATTCTTTAGATATTTCAGATGAGACCTTTTGTCTGAGAAACAGTCTATAAAATGTTTTCCCAATTTTCTGCTTTTCTTTTGATCTTGGATACATTTGTTTTATTTGTACAAAAACTTTTTTTTAATTTAATGTAATTAAAATTATTCATTTTACACCTAACTTTGCTATCTCTTATTTATTCATAAATTGTTCACTTATCCATAAGTCTGACAAGTAAT